CCAATGCCGACCACTCCCCCAGCCTGCCCTGCCCTGCACGCCCAGCCTCCCAGCTGGCATCCCCAATGCCGACCACTCCCCCAGCCTGCCCTGCCTTTCTGAGTGACGGGAGCAGCGGGTACCTGCCTTCAGGAAGGAGACTAGCAGCAGGTACGCAGTAAGAACAAAAGCTACTAAAGGACTTTATTTACGTTTCTACGGAGATGTTACGAACAAGGTAGACTTTAAAAGAACACTTAAAAATTTTAAAGTAACTATAGCTCTAAAATGAAAATAATGCCATCGCAGAGCAGTTCTGAAAATGGAGACGTGTCACTTGCTGGTCCTACTCCATGCCCACTGTGACCTCCCCGCATGCCCTCCGTCCCTCCGTGCCCAGCCTCCTGCTGATGTAGGAATGAAAGGGCCACACCATCCAAATCTTCACTTTATTTTTAATATAAAAAATGCAAATTTGGAAACCCACCCTGCTTTCTCCCCTAACATAATGCTTTACCTCTTAAAAATAAAAATAAAGTACTAATTCTATATACATCACATGTACCATACAAAAATGTATCCAAAGTTCTATTGCTACCAAAGTGTTCTAAATTAAAACAAGTTACAGAAAGCCCCTCATTGTAAACAGGATTACAAGTTACAAAATCAAAGTACTCACAGGCCAGTTGTTTATCGAACCGCCCAACACATTCTGCTCCCAAACCGAGTTGAATTTTTATGTGCTGTATAAAAATGCATATCAATATACTTTTGCAAATTTATTTTTCATTATAAAGCAAATGAGTACACTTCTACAATAAATAATCTTCTGGGAGGCACGCTCGAGGGGCTGGGGTGGAGCAGGAGAAGGGACAGACAGAACAACAACAATGGCCCGCCTGGCGCAGCTGGCGGAGTGTTTTTGGTGATTTGCAAGTGATGCACACAGCGTTAAGTTTTTATTCTCTTTGCACAAAGTACCATTCAAAATAATGTCATTTTCTTTCTTAAAATACACATTTGTCATTGTAAATTTACATCCCGTCTTATTAAATAAGTGGCACTCTGTGCAAAGAGCATGATTTACAAAATTATTAAACATTCAAAGGTCTTTAAAAAAAAAAAGCTACAGGTCAAAGAAAGTGAGGCCGTGGCACAACCAGGAAGCGGGCCCGCCATGTGGCTGAGACACCTGCCCCCCACAGCGCCGGCCACGCGGCTAGGACGCCCCTGCCCCCACAGAGCGCCGAGATGAGATGGTTCCATAGAAAACTTGGAAATGAAACCTCCCCCTCCCTGGGGAGAAAAGAACTACAGAACTACAGCTACAAAATCAGAATAAGTTAAGTTTTGAACAATATACAACATGTACAGCTTTATCAACACTATGGACAAGGCTCAGTCAATGTCACTGAGGTCACTGGCGGGCTCCCCATGGACCCGGCTCAGGTGGTTCATGGCGCGGTCGAAGGCCACCCGCACAGCCTTCCGGATGCTGGAGTTCCTCCCTTCCATCATTTTTAGCTTGTCGATGGTCTCGTCAATACCAAGGGGCACCATTTTGGACTTGGGAAGCCACTGCCTTTTTAGATGAAAGAGATGGGAAAAGTAAGCACAGCTGCCCCACGCGCCCCTCCGCCCGCACACAGGCAGGAGCTGTCAGACACCAGCAGGGCCCCATGCAGCAGAGCAGGCAGGATGTGCGCTGCGTCCCTTTATCTTCCTCTAGGGCTCAGGAAAGGCATGGAAACCATGAGCACTCCTCCTTCTCCAAAACATCTCTGAGCTGCCACGCAGGGCAGGCAAAGCAACCAGACCCAGACTATGCTCGTAGCACAGGCCAAGGAGCCCTGGGTGGGCATGGGGGGGTGGGGGGATCCTAACACAAAAAAGGGTTAGCCCCAGGAAGTCCTCCCTCTGGGTCTAAGGGAGCAGCTGCCAAGGACAGCGGGATAAATAGGAAGAACACAGGATGTGCTGGCAGACCCTTATGTGCAGCCAGAACGGGAAGCACCTCCTGGGCACTGAGTGCAATTGCTGACAGGACTCTGGGGCCACCCAGGAAAGGCCCACACCCAGCTGGATGGGCACTCCTGACAGCGCAAGTGGTGGGAGATAGTATGCCCCACGCTGAACCAGGCTATATTGGGGCCTCAAATGCTGAGCATCTGAGCAGAGCTGGGTGGAGACAGAAGCAGATGCTGTGGACAGGGGGCACTTGAGTCCTGGCAAAGCGCCTGAATCTAGGAGCTCAACGCAAGGCCCCCGGGGGTACTTCTGTGGACTTGAATAGGCATGAGGTCAAGCAGCCTGGACCAGTCAGCTAGCCAGCCAGGACTTCAGAAGCAAGATGACACTGTCAGGTAAAAACCATCCAGTGAGCAGTGCAGCTCCCACAGCAGCCATTGGATGCTGCCCTTTCCCAGTTTCCCCCTCTCTGGACATCAACCATTGGATGCTGCCCTTTCTCAGCCCCGCCCTCTCTGGACATCAACCATTGGATGCTGCCCTTTCTCAGCCCCGCCCTCTCTGGACATCAGCCATTGGATGCTGGCTGCCCCTCTCAGTCCCCCCACCCTGGACCTAGAAGCAGCACAAGCCACAGCACCCAGGACCACAGGGAAGGGCCTCCAGCCTGACCTGCACACTCACCAACTTCTCTTATTATCAAAGAACAGAACAAGAAACAGCTTCTCTTCAGACTTGGTCTGCATGTGCTCCCCGATCTTCAGCACATCCAGGGGTGGGGCGGGGATCGTGACCCCGTTGTGGTGGCCAGGCACTCTTGGCATCTTGGGATCGATGATCTGCCGAGGACAGGCTCTTGTCACACCAAGCACTCTCAAACCCAGAGCACACACCCACGAGCCCAGGCCACTCACACACTGCCTCTCAGCACAGCCATGCTCTCCTGGGCACACCCAGGCCCAGGACCCCTCCCGGTGCCCCACTCACCAGTGCTGGGTAGGAGGGGTAGCCACTACACTTGGCCCACACCACTTTCAGGGGCTCCAGGGCAGAGGCCGCGGCATCCGTGGAAATCCACATGCTGTTCTGCCCCACTTCTGGTAAAGAGACCCCCCCCCCCAAGCAAGCCATCAGGAGAGCCACTGCTGGCCCGGTGCAGCACACAGGCCAGAGTTCCCCAGACACGCTCAGTGCCCAGCCTCTCAAGTATAAGTTCAGTCACCACCACCAGGAGGCAGATGGCCACCACGCACGCATGCACACACGCACACACACACACGCACGCTCTCCCTGTAGCCTGCCCACGGTTCACTTGCCTCCAAAAGACCTACAGAACCTCATGTCCTCCCAGTTCAAGGACTGTGAAGGATACTGGTCCCGAATGCCTTAAGTCCTGTGACCAAAATTGGTCCCTAACACCTGAGCCTCTCCCTCCAAAGACCTCCTTTGGTGCATTCTTGCCGCCTCCTATGCACAGAAAAGCTCCCTCCAAAGAGCCAGCCCCTGTCCTCCGCTTCCCTGCACACATCCTCCCGCAGCCCCAGACTCCTCTCCAGAGCCCACCACCTCCGAAGTCCAGACTGACCACCAGTGTCAGATGCCCAACTGACCTCTGCCCCTCTTCAAAGCAGAGAAACCCTGTAATCCATCAGTTCTCAGACCCGGAACTTTACTCCGCCCCATGGCCTGGTGACCCCCAACCACTCACACTCACACCAGGCATAGCTGTCTTACAGTGACATTTGTGCCCACTCAACTCTACCCCCAGGGGCTAGCCACTAGGACTAGGCAGCCAGCCCACCAAGTCCCTCATGGCCTGAGGCTGAGGACACCTCTACAGAGACTCAGCAGAGAATGCCAAATAACCTACACTAACCCTGTCTGAACCGTGATGAGTCACCCCGAATCCCGTGTGCCCTCGCAGGGCCTCCACCTAGGGGACCCAGCCTTGAAGCACTCTTCTTGGGGAATGATTTACTGGATGCAATGAGCTTGGCTGACAACCCCACACTACTAGGCCAGGTATTAGAGGAGTTCCCTTCTGCAGTATCTCGAAGTTGTTGGTATAACTCACCAGCCGCAATCCTGGCTGCTTTGGCGTAGTTCCCATTTTCAATACAGGAGATCAGCTCACTGCGATCCTCCAGCGTGTGCCTTCGCACAAGAGCAGGCTTGCCGCGCCCACACTTCGGTGCACTGAAACTTTAAAAAGAAACAGACCAGTCAGAAAGTGACACTACAGACTGTGAACACCCCTGCTGCCTGGTAATTCCCTCCACCACATGCTGCACACACAGCTGCTGCCCACCAGGCTGGGCTGTGTGAAGGGGCACCGCCCCCCCAGGCAGGCCTGCAACTGGGGCCATAGTGAGACACTCAGGGGCTCCCTGTGCCACTGTTGTGAAGGGCTGCGTCCCACCATACTGAAGGTGGGATTTGGGGAGGAAAGAATGACGCTTAACCACAGATTCTAAAATCGCGCTTTTTGTATGTGTTTTGCTTTGGTTGTTTTTTCTTTTTCATGCCATTTTAGGACTTGAACTGAGGGCCTCACAATCTTGGCTTTTTCGCTCAAGGCTGGTTAGTGTTCTACCACTTGGGCCACTTCCCCCACTTCCAGCTTTTTGGTGATTGAAGGTATTATCTCACAGACTTCTCTGCCCAGGCTGACTGTGAACAGCAATCTTCAGATCTCAGCTTCCTGAATAGCTAGGAATACAGGCAGAAGCCACCAGCATCCATATTGTATTGTAATTTCACTATTTACAAAGCACATCAAAGTATCCCCATAGGAAACTGTCTGTGAAGGGCACAGCACAAACCCTGGGGTCAGCCTTTCTCAAGACCCTAGAAGAGTTGAGCTCTGAAACTTCAGAAGCCGAGCAAGAAAGTACCCAGGAGCTGCACACAGAGGAAACTAGGGGCGTGCCCACCGCGAGGGGCAGAGTGAGCTGTTGCTGGGGGCGTGCCCACCTCGAGGGGCAGAGCAGGCTGCTGCCGGGGGCGTGCCCACCTCAAGGGGCAGAGTGAGCTGCAGGGGGCATGCCCACCTCAAGGGGCAGAGTGAGCTGTTGCTGGGGGCGTGCCCACCTCGAGGGGCAGAATGAGCTGTTGCTGGGGGCGTGCCCACCTCGAGGGGCAGTGTGAGCTGTTGCTGGGGGTGTGCCCACCTCGAGGGGCAGAGTGAGCTGTTGCTGGGGGCGTGCCCACCTCGAGGGGCAGTGAGCTGCTGGGGGCGTGTCGCCCTGAGGGGCAGAGTGAGCTGCTGGGGGTGTGCCCACCTCGAGGGGCAGAGTGAGCTGCTGCGGGGGCGTGCCCACCTCGAGGGGCAGAGTGGGCTGCTGCTGGGGGCGTGCCCACCTCTAGGGCAGAGCAGGCTGCTGCCGGGGGCGTGCCCACCTCGAGGGGCAGAGTGAGCTACTGGGGGTGTGTCACCCCGAGGGGCAGAGTGAGCTGCTGGGGGCGTGCCCACCTCGAGGGGCAGAGTGAGCTGCTGCGGGGGTGTGCCCACCTCAAGGGGCAGAGCTGCTGCTGGGCGCGTGCCCACCTCGAGGGACAGAGCAGGCTGCTGGGGGCATGCCCACCTCGAGGGGCAGGGTGAGCTGCTGGGGGTGTGTCCACCTTGAGGGGCAGAGTGAGCTGTTGCTGGGGGCGTGCCCACCTCTAGGGGCAGAGTGAGCTGTTGCTGGGGGCGTGACCACCTCCAGGGGCAGAGTGAGCTGTTGCTAGGGGCATGCCCACCTCGAGGGGCAGAGTGAGCTGCTGGGGGTGTGTCACCCTGAGGGGCAGAGTGAGCTGCTGGGGGCGTGCCCAACTCGAGGGGCAGAGTGAGCTGCTGGGGGTGTGTCACCCTGAGGGGCAGAGTGAGCTGCTGGGGGCATGCCCACCTCGAGGGGCAGAGTGAGGAGTTGCTGGGGGCGTGCCCACCTCGAGGGGCAGAGTGAGCTGTTGCTGGGGGCGTGCCCACCTCCAGGGGCAGAGTGGGCTGCTGCGGAGGGTGTGCCCACCTTGAGGGGCAGAGTGAGCTGCTGCGGGGGCGTGCCCACCTCGAGGGACAGAGTGAGCGGCTGCGGGGGCGTGCCCACCTCGAGGGGCAGAGTGAGCTGCTGCGGGGGCGTGCCCAACTCAAGGGGCAGAGCGGGCTGCTGCTGGGGGCGTGCCCACCTTGAGGGGCAGAGTGAGCTGTTGCTGGGGACGTGCCCACCTTCAGGGGCAGAGTGGGCTGTTGCGGGGGCATGCCCAACTCGAGGGGCAGAGCGGGCTGCTGCTGGGGACGTGCCCACCTTCAGGGGCAGAGTGGGCTGTTGCAGGGGCGTGCCCACCTTGAGGAGCAGAGTGAGCTGCTGCTGGGGGCGTGCCCACCTTGAATCACAGAGCGGGCAGTTGCCAGGGGCGTGCCCACCTTGAGGGGCAGAGTGGGCTGTTGCCGGGGGTGTGCCCACCTTGAATCGCAGAGTGGGCTGCTGCTGGAAGAGACACTGGACTCGGACGCACAGCGTCGCCGGGGTGTGGCTCTCCTTCCCGGGCCACTGCCCGGCTCCTGCTCACTCCTTGCACCCCCAAAGCCATTGGTAAGACCTGGAACACAAGCAGGTAGAACTGGTCAGCTCAGCCAGAGCTGTTATTCAATCCAATTCATTCCTGACTTATACTAACTTTCTCCTTTCAACGTGGAATACATTTTCCAAAGAACATTTCATATCCAAAGCATGACCTCAGTAGATTAACAAAAACATTGTTGAGTAAAATAAACACAAATCATAGTTGAAGCGATCCTATAAGCACTGGCAAGATTTTCTTAACAAGCTCCATGAAAGTGAAGCACCAGGCCCCTTGCTATCTCTTCCCAAATGAACAGAACTTCTGCAAGCTCACAACAAAGCCCACCCACTCTATGGAGGACAGACTTGTGTCTGGAGAACCAAACCCAGGATGGGGGCCTATTACCACCACCACCTCCACCATCATGGAACTTCAGGGAAGGTTAAATTTGAGGAAAAAAATGCTTGGAGCTGGGCATTGCTGGCTCCTTCCTGCCCCTGTCATCCTAGCTACTCCAGAGACTGAGATTTGAATATGATGGTTCAAAGCCAGCCCAGGCAGGGGAGCCTGTGAGACTCCAACCAACCACCAAAAAGTCAGAAGTGGAGCTGTGGCTCACATGGTTGAACACTAATCTTAACCAAAGAAGCTCAGGACAGTGCCCAGGACCTGAGTTCAAGATCCAGGACAGGCACAACCCCTCCCTGCCCACACACAAAAAACAAGTTTGGAGATGTTGCTCAGTAGTAGAATGCTTGTCTAGTAGTGTGTGAGACCTTGATTTTGAGCCCCAGAACCAAAGAAAAAAACTGTTTCAAAAGATCAGCATTAACAAGAACCTATGGATAAAACACTTTTAAAACAGTAACAGCAGCTGAATACCAGTGTCTCAAGTCTAAAACCCTAACTACTCAGGAGGCTGAGATCTGAGTCACAGTTCTAAACCAAGGCAGGTAAATCCTCAACTCCAGCCACCCACCAAAAGCTGGGAAGCATGGCTGTGGCTCACGTGGCAGAGCGCTGGCCCTGAGTGATAAAGCTCACAAACAGTGCCAAGCCCCAAGTTCAAGCCACAGTACTGGCATGCACACACGCACACGCACGCACACACACCAAAAATCAGAGAGAGGGCCCCTTGAATCTAGGCCACCTCCAAATCACCAGCACTAGAGCACAGGGGACACGGTGTTCCTGAAGGTTTCCCCACATGGAGCTGAGACTCCCGGGTGTGAAGGCATCCTGAGAGCTGAGTGAATAGCACATGACCCCAGTATCTGAACAGCCTTTTAACCTAGGCAAATCCAGGCCAAATTGAGTGTCAATTTCCTTCTTGAAGAAACAAACTTTATGTCAACAATAAGGAATTACATGTCTGCCCTACAGAGGCCTCTCCTAATCAGGAGGGCGGAACCCCAGGTCGCAGGTGCTGAGAGGAAGAGGGAGTTATAAAAGAAGTATGTTTTCCCAATAAAGCTATCAATATCACCTGCCCACGTACATCCTTAAGAAGTATATTAAAAAATATTTTCAAACTAAGACATGCTAATTTGTCAATAAAGCACTTTCTTAAAAAATGCCTGAGGCCCTCAGTTCGATTTCTCAGCACCCCATAAGCAGAGAAAAGCCGGAAGTGGCACTGTGGCTCAAGTAGTAGGGCACTAGCTTTGAGTGGAAGAGCTGAGGGACAGCGCCCAGGCCCAGAGTTCAGCCCCCATCACCGACAAAAGACAAAAAAAAAAAAAAAAGTTTAGGTTGAGTGGCCAGATTATAATGCCCGAGTATTCTCCCACATTTCCTCTGTGGAACAGGCCAGCTTCTGCTGGCACCATGTCGCCGTCCACCACTGAGGAAGCAGAAGACAGGAGAGGGGAGGGGCCGCACTCCCATCTGTGCCCCAACTCTTACAGTGGGCTGTGCTGCCTCTTCCTGAGCCAGTGCAGTCAGAGAGCCCACCCAAACCAGATGCACCAAAAGCTGACAGCCAGATGATTGGGTCTGAGGCTGAAAAGGGACTGCAAGCTGAGCGCCCTCTAGTGTTGCTGAGGGGAACTGTGCTGGCCCCAGGAAGACGGTCTGCTAACAAGTCTGGTAGAATTAATGAGCAAGCCACATCCCAGACAGGCACTCTTCCCCCAGAAATTCCCGAAGCCAGGCCATATCCACATGCCCAACTCAGTGACCAAGGTCATTTGCTCAGGGACCAGAACACTTCACTGTCCCCAAGGCCTGAGAGAAGGCCCACAGTGGTGTGTCCTTCAGGAGACCTTTGGTCCCCATCCCCAGGGGTGAACCGAGCACCATGCAGACTGAGCAGACACAGGCGGGGCCAACCAAGGTGGTTTCTCTGCCCTTCCGACCTGCACCAGTCCCTCAGGTAGCTGGGATGCACCTCCAACAAGGAACTGGGAAAGAGGTGTAGCCAACCTGGCCCATGTGGCAGGCAGCAGCCTGGGGCAAGAGGAAGAAGAGCCTTGCAGGGCCAGCTCAGGAGAGACCCACAGAGACCAGAAGAGTCCATGTACACAGCCCTCATGCACCCCAGTGCTCCATAAAGATGGGGTCACATCGATTCTCATATCCAAGTGCCTTGTTAGGCCTCCAAGTGATTGTGGAAGGAAAAGATAAAAATCTAGGGAAGGTCTAAAAAAGGAAAAGAACTCTTTCCTGAAAAAGTCTTAAGAGTAAGACAAGGAGGACATCTCCCTCCCTGCTTTTCCTGAGTCTTTTATTACAGGCACACTGCATGTAGGCTGACACACGTGGGCATGTGTCACTGACACGCAAACACTCTGAGCTACTGGGAAGGGGTGGGCACCACCACTGGGAAGCTGAGGGGACATCCCATCTGGGCAGAGTATGGCTCAGGTCAGACTCTCAGGGACACTGCATCTCAGATGGGGCTGAGACGCGGGCATGGCTACAACAGAGCCTTCAGGACTTCCAGGCTCTGGACATGTCCCTGAAGGGAAAACACAATCCAGCGATCCACAGCTCAGACCTGGAAAGGTCCCTGGAAGCCACAGACCTGTGACACAGCAGCCAGACCCAAGTCTTCCCTGCCTCTACCTCCATCATGGCCTGCGTCCCACTTCCTGTGCAGAGCATCAGCTGCAGGGTCAGGGAACCAGGCATTCTCTCTCAGCACTAGGGATGGTTGTGTCCTCATCAACCCTGCAGGGACATTGGGTCTGAAAGGGTCTACAATCCCAGGTTCTACCACCTCTACCAGAAGCCCAAGGCCTACAATCCACACACAGACAGGCGGGTACCTGACCCACAGGGCACTTGTAAAGAGCAGGCGTTAACATAGCCTGAGTCTCTAAATTGTAAAGGCTCAGTAGGGACAGATCTGAGCAACTGTAAAAGCTAGTGCTTGGAGAACTAATGAGGAGAGATAGCTCCTGGACAGAGCCAGTGCATGAACCCTGGGTGCTGCCGGCAGTGTCCAGGAACATCACAAATACCAAACCAGAACCCAAATTTCCTGCCCTGGTTTTAAGGCAGCTGAGTCCCAAACACCTAGACAACGACAGCATCCCTGGAGTTCCCCTCTGCCCAAGCCTTTCCATAACCTACCTGAAGTGTACAAGGTGGCTACAAAGACCCGAGCTGGTCAGGAAGTCACCAAAGTCCACTCAGAGGCCAAGGCCTGGTGGTGAAGAAGTCAAAGCCCATCGGACTGCATGGACTCGGCTCCACCGTTAGCACCTGTGGCCACCAGCATGTGTGTCACTGAGGGCTCACCCACACAAGGACACAAACCCTCTGTGCCTCTACTGCGGCCCCACTGGCCCCCGTGAAACCTGCCAACAGGACTCTCACACACGCTCTGAGTCCCTCCCAGCCCAGGATGCTACTGGCTAGCAGAAGCAAGCGTCTCAGAGTGGTAGGCAATGCCAACTGTCTTCTGTCAGCACATTTTTACTCTTGCTATGACCAAAGGAGTTACACTTGTAGTGTACCTTTCAAGCATTCAATAATAGCACAGCAAGCAAGAAGACTCCCTTGACCACCTACTTCTGCTGAGACAATCTCTGTGAAGACTCAACTGAAGCAGCCAATGCCCACCCCACACAGGAGGGAGCCAGACCATGTTGGGGCTCCTGCTGGCAGGCTTGCCAACTGGCCCAGCAGAAGCTTGGCGTACCACCAATGAGACAGACATTAGTACTGTGTAATGGCTGAGGATGAAGGAAGGGGAAGAGAAGGGAGAAGAAAAACCAGGTAGCAAAGCAACAGATGCTAACAACTGGGCAAGGCAACACTGGGCCCCATCTTCAGACAGTGCAGTGTTTACAGTCCTTTCAGACGGCCAACCTGGATTGCCCCAAAACAGAACCCCTGGGCATCAGGCCAATTCTGGGCACGCTCAGACAGTTGGGTTAGGCTGCAACAGTATTCTGCCATGGTACTAAAGCTCTCCTCGCCTCCTCCCTATCTGCAGAGAGAAGGCTTAGGCGATGGAGACATCTCACTGGACATAGAGAGGGCAGAGCTACTCCCAATGCTGAGTTCTAAACAGAGAGTGCGCTGCTGGCCGGGGCAGGTCTCCTCCAAGGGCAGGTATTTGTGTGTGTCTGTTTATGAAGGTGGCTCAATGGATGATCCAACACGGTGCACAAGAACTAGGTGCCAGGCAAGCAGGCAGCAACCGCTCTGCATCCAAATGGCTGCTTAGCAGAACTCCAGTCCAAGTCGAGGTAAGAGAAAAGGATTAGGATCCAAAGAGTAAGCTACCCAGCACATTAGTAGTTAAGTGAGAACCTGAAAAACAGCGAAAAAGCCATTTAGTGTGACTGAAAGAAGAATAAAAGAGAGGTCCTCCTTTTTCCTAATCAGTTCAGAGCAAGGGAAAACATCTCGCTCACTCACTGGCTCACCACCCCACAGAAGAGCAGGAGAATCTCCACCAGGAGTATCAAAGTAAAAAGCGAGGAACACAGGTCCTGGCCTGGTGATCTGTTGCCAGAAATAAGTGAGCAGTCACAGAGGAAGGAACCTAGGGGACCAGATCCAAAGGTGTACACCACACCAGAGTCTCGAGCTCTGAGCCTCCCAGAGGCCTAACATATGGCATGCCCAGCCCACAGGTGTGAGCAAGGCAAGTGTGTGGGTGAGTCATCTCAGAATGAGCAAGTCTGGTCTCAATCTAATTTGTTATCTTGCAGTGCACTGAAGAACTCCCTAAACGTCCACAGCCCATAGATGAATCTGGAAAAGATGGGAAGGTTCTGAATACTTCAAGTCCTCAGACTGCGAAGAATTGCAGCTCGAAGCAAGAAATCCAGGTGCGCAGAGCACCAGAAGGTTCAGGTGGAGGCACAGCCAATGATGGTGGAGCTGGCTCACTCAGCCCACGCCGGCTGCCTGGGCCGGGCAGCTGCCATGGTGGCCGCCCCGCACTCCTGAGGGTCAGATCAGATCTTAGCACTAAGGCTCCCCAGCTGCTCGGGAGTGCGCGTCCACTGAAATCTACTGCCACTCTGGAATAAGAAAGCAGAAATCTCCATTTCAGTCAGAATCAAAGGCACACTGTGGATCACACGCACTACAGGTCAGAGGTACGACTGCTTACGACTCACCGTTAGCACTGAAAACTGGCAAAGTGCTCAAGTCAGGAAGTAAGATGGATGGGGCACAGTGCTCCATGCAAGGAGTCCTGATGAACCCAACATCTGATGGGAAGTTTCTACAACCACTCTCTGATGGAGGCCTACAGGCGGCAAAGGCCCCAGCAGAGCCCAGAGTAGCTGGGCTGTCTAAGGGCAGGAAGAGAAGCCATGCCTCCAATACCAACTACTCAATGGGCACGAAGTCTGGGTTGCTGACAGAAAGTGTTGCTGAGGCGGCGGTCAGCTCGAGCTGCAGGCTCTGTGGAAGCATGTGACATGGGGCACCTGGTCCTGAGGCCAGCACTGCGTAAGACCCACTGTGTTCATCTCTGGACTTTCCAGTAAGCTCAAAAACAGTCTATCCGAAGTACAGTCAAGAGAAATCCCCAAGGACTAAAACAGGTTCACTATTTCACTCTCCTACAGAACATTTACATTGCTTCCTAAAAACAAAAAAAGGTCTTATCAGATTTTAAAATGCTATTACAAATCTAAGAAAATAAGAGGCCATGGGTAGGAAAGTTTTCACAAAACCGTATGTTCAAAATAAAATTGAAATGAAATTTATCACAAGACCTTTGGAGCTCAATCCTCATCACTACACACACACACACACACACACACACACACACACACACAGGGAAAAAAGAGAAAAACCAGTTTTTATAATAAATTATTTTGGCAACAACAAAAATTATCTATTTTGAATGTGCTTCTGTGTGAAGATCCCCAATGTAATGCTGTATTTAGGCCAAGAGTCAACAGAGGGAATAGGAAAGCCAGCCACCAGCAGCATCTTCCTGGCTGTCAGACCAACATAGCAAACTCAAGGACTTTGGAAGCATTTATCAGTTTGGGGAAATAAATAGCTGGGTCTTGTTTTCCCTGCTCAAGTAAAAGAGCAAACACACAACCTCAGGGCAGCAGAAGGAAATGCACAAATAGAGGACAGGACCCAAGCTTTGATCTGGGATCAAAACCAAAAGAGCAAAAACCTCATCAACAATTTGTCAGAAAAGAGTCACTTACTAGACATACAGGTGTAGTATCAACCATAATTTATTTGTTATTTTTCTTTTTTTTTTTTTTTGGGTCCAGTCATGGGGCCTGAACTCTGGGCCTGGGCGCTGTCCCTCAGCTCTTCAGCTCAAGGCTAGCACTCTACCACTTGAGCCACAGCACCACTTCTGGCTTTTTTCTTTTTTCTTATGTGGTGCTGAGGAATCGAACCCAGGGCCTCATGCATGCAAGGCAAGTGCTCTACCACTGAGCCACCTTCCCAGCCCCTTATTTGTTATTTTTGCTGGTCCTGGGGCTTGAAACCTGAGCCTGGGCGCCATCCCTGAGCTTTGTTTGCTCAAGGCAAATGCTCTACCACTTGAGCCACAGTGCCACTTCTGGCTTTTTTTTTTTTTTAAGTACTTTATTGGAGGTAAGAGCCTCACAGAGTTTCCTGCCTGGGCTGCTTTGAACTGCAATCCTCAGATCTCAGCCTGAATAACTACAATTACAGGCATGAGCCACCAGAACCCGGCTCAATCATAATTCTTGAAGGATCACAAAAAATTCCCTGGCTTTCACCTGAGGACCTGGGGAAAAGAGGCTCCAAGAAAGCCAACATGGCTTCCTACAAATGCAACATGGTGCAGTTGCAGTTTCACAGAAATGCCGTGGATGCTATCACATATGGGAATGTCTCGGTAAATTAGCCCCATTTACATTATAAAAGCTTGGTAATCAATGAGCAATGCTTCCAGCTGTTCCTTAGCAGGTAACCGTAATGCAGTACAGGTGTACTGAGAGGCAACCACTTGAGGCAAGTGTGTGGATGTATAACGTACTGCACCAGGGGATCCAGGGACTTGCTATGGTCAGAAAGGGAAGGCCTGGCTCTCCCTAGGGCTCGAGGTTTGCAGGGACGTCAGGAGAGCCTCCCAGGGCTGGGGAGTGCAGGTGTGGCTGCTGAAGGGTCAGTTTATCTAGACACGCATACCAAACTCAACGTGCTCTACCAAACACAGCAGAAGTTCTATTGGGGGGAGTCTGGGCCTCAGGGACTTTGTGCCCGAGCTGGCTCTGAGTTGTCAACCCCATCTCAGCCTCCTAAGTTGCTGGGATTACAAGTGTGAGCCACCACACCAGCCTAAGTCACTCTTGATATTAGAAAACTCAGAAGAAAGGAAGAAAAGGACTGACAGAGAAGCAGCACTTGTCCACAAGGCCTCTGCCCTTGAGGTTGCCAACCACAGACTACTACACTGTGTCCGTCTTTGCTGGACAGTAAGAGACCACTGCAAAAACAAAAGCTCAGCAGCGGTCGCGTCACGGCAGCCACTCCTGACATTTACCTGTGTCCAGGCGCTTTCCCGGGGACTCCTCCTCCGCCTCGGAGTCTCCACATGTGCTCCGCGACCTTTTCCTTGGCTGCAGTAGAGTCTCCAACCTCGGAAGGACTACAGACAAAAAGGTTTTGGTCCCTAGCTGAGGAGAAGTTGGCTGGGTTTCAGTGTTCTTGGCAGACTTTGGGGGGCTTACACTTTTCGATTTGCAGAAGAGAACAGAGGTGCGTCTGTTTACATCGCTTGATGGCTCCGCCACTGCGGAGGCCGCCGCCGCCGCCGGCACATCGCCACTACTGGCGAGGGAGGGCTCTGGAGGGTGTCCGCTTACCAGTGCGCTCTGAGTGCAAGTGCTATGTGATTCATTATCAAATGTGACTCTTTTGAATAGTTTACTCTGCTCGGGGTTGAGTTCTACTGGTTTGAGGGTTGGTGGTTCTGAATTAGTCTCCGAGTTTGAAGGAAGAGGTAATGCATCGGATGGTTCAAGTTTAGGGGGAGATTTATCTCCTGAAAAAATTATAAATAAAGTGATTTTTGAAAACTGAAGATTATAAAATCTATTATATAAAACTTACTATAAATGTGAAGTCCACCAAATTACTAATTCAATTAAGGAAACAAAAGCATCACACCCAATTGTCTGCTGAGCAGTGAGCAGCCCCGGGGGCCGCAGGTCACACTATGTGCATCTCCCTAGGCAACGACCAGGGCCTGGTGCCCTTAGGGCCAGGTGCACAGTCACTTTCTGGAAAAATCTGTGAAAGAGCACTTCACACCATTAATATTAAATCCACCAGTTGAGTTCATGACAGTTTCTGCGATCAGCACTCACTTACCTTGAGAAAGACAAGAATCACAGAACCAAAGGGACCATGCACAGCCCCACATGGCTCTGCGCTGCACCACAAGGCGGCAAACAGAAGGAAGCAAACAAAATGGCCTAAGGAGGGCTTTCCCAGGGGAAGCCAAACACCAGAGAGCCCCTTGGCCAAGAGCTTCCCAAGGAAGCGGGACCGCCTCCCACATGCTGCCACGAGAGCCTGCTTTTAGATAAGGAGCTTAACAGTGTCTGGAAGATGACTTTCTAAAACACACGGACATGGAGCTAAGGCTTTACAGTCAGCCCTGATGAGGCAAAAACTCAAGGGACAGAACTGGCCCAGGCCTCGTGACCAGCAGCACGAGGGTCTGCCAGGGTCTTTCCCAAGAAAGACCGATTCTGGCTACAGAAAGTGATTATATAAAGCCAAGAGTAAAACTCCAATAATCCAAAGTAATATGTGCCTTTAGGTTCATTAAGTCGTTAACTTAATTCTGCAAATTTCCCCAAACATTTGAAACCTGCCAAGTTAATATTTTAAATACAAAAGTCACTTTAATAATGAAAATCTACAACGCACAGCTTCACTTTCGTCTCTGAGCTATTCAGTTAACTCAGGGCAAAGGTTTTATTTAGTATGGTGCCAAGTAAGCCCTCCTAACTACCTCCAAACAGCAAAGCAAGGCTGGAAGCCAGCACCAAACCAGTGATCCTCGGATCTCAGCCTCCTCCAGAGTAGCTGGGATTACAGCCGTTAGCCACTGGCACCCAACTTTGGCTAGAACTTTTAAAAAAAGGGGGGGGGGAGCACTGTGTTGGAGCTTATTACAGGTGATTTCCATCCCACCACCACCAAGGAAAGGAGCAAACTCAACAACAGCCTGGTGATTAAAAGTTCGTGTGTGTCTGTGTGTGTGTGTGTGTGTGTAATTAAAAATTCGTGTGTGTGATTAAAAGTTCGTGTGTGTGTGTGTGTAATTAAAAATTCGTGTGTGTGTGTGTGTGTGCGCTAATCCTAGGGCTTCGACTCAGGGCCTGTGTGTATACGCACGTGCCAGTCCTAGGGCTTGAACTCAGGGCCTGTGCGTGTGTGTGTGTGTATACGCACGTGCCAGTCCTGGGGCTTGAACTCAGGGCCTGAACACTGTCCTAAGCTTCTTTTGCTCAAGGCTAGCACTCTACCACTTGAGCCACAGCACCACTTCTGGCTTTTTCTGTGTGTGTGGTACTGAGGAGTCGAACCCAGGGCTTCATGCATGCTAGGCAAGCACTCTACCACTAAGCCACATTCCCAGTCCCTTTAAAAGATCTTTATCCAAGAGATAGAAGCTTCTCTGAAGCATAAACTCAAGCCACAGGACTAAACTATTTGCATCTAGAGATGATTTTTATGAAGTAAAGATGTTAAATCCTCAATTACTGGCTTGTTAGGTGCTGAACAATTTATTCCCATCTACTCTGTTTAAGATCTTTAACAATTTACTAACCCAGTATTTGTGAAGCACCCAGGGGCAGACTCATGCAGTCTCTGCAAAGGGCTCTGTTCATCACTGTATGCCTCATCCCTGGTATATACACATGAAGGAAAACAGCAATCTGAGGCTGGCTGGTGCCCCAGGCTGGTGCTGGGAGAACAGAGCTGAGTCGGATGACTGCCACAGCACACCTCAGTTTGGCTTTTGCCTCTTCTTCCACTACATCAGACTCTCATTCTGATCCTGACACCAGGGTACTAACTGCAAATCCTGTGGTCAATTCAACCAAGACCAGTGGTAAGGCCCAGGCAGTGATGCGGCCAACTGAAATGGCACCAAAAGGGACCTCCTGGCCAGCCTTTTATGACTAAGCAAGTAGGGCAGGCCCACCTCCACCTCAACTCAGTGTCTTCCCCTCCCACCCAGGAGGAGGGAGGTCATCCTGCGAGTGCGCGCACCCGCACCCACACCCACACATGCACGCACGCACCCTCTGCACCAGGTGGCAGACATACTCGCCACACCCACACCCACACCCCCCAGGTGACAGACACACTGACGCACAGCCTCTCTTCAAGAGGAGCTCTGAGTGAGAGCCAGGGTCCCCGCTGCCACCCACTGGATCACTGGGGATGCTCCTGGGAGCTTGCCAGGTGGACAAAGGAGAGCCCTGGAGGGAAGGCTGTCTGAGGCCAGGTATACAACCTCCACCAGCCATAGGACCCAAACAGTGCACTCAAATCAACCTCTGAGAGCCTCAGTCTCCTCACCATAAAATGAGAAACAGCAGTACCACTGCAGTGCCACTCTGCCAGCTAATTACCACCCCCCATCATGCCCCTCAATCGGAATCTTAGAAACAAGCATGAGCATATTTTTAAAAAGCTCACTAGCTACTAACAACTATGTTTTACACCTGGAATAAACTCCAAGGATTCCAATGTGAGTCTCAGACGTGAATAGGAAAGATGGCCAGGATTCACCACATGCACAGAGCAGCAAAATCACTAACCACTTTCACCCTCACACACAGGTTGTCTACTCAAGAGCAGGTAGGCCCCGAAAACTTCAGTTCTACCACTTTACACACCTGGTCACTAAGCCAATTAAATGCCATCTACCAAAGCCACGATCGGCACCGTGTGTAGGGGTAGTTCAACCCATGGCTGACAACTGAACTATTCCCAACATCATGCCTGTTCCCTAATCCCTTTTCTCGGCCACCTTCAAGGAGCAGAGCCAATGTGCATCGTATGCTGGGTTAAAAGGCCTTCATACACACTCAGCGGGAGCCCCCAGCTCTGCACGCAGAGCAGAGCCCCATGATTATGCTGACGCCTGGGAGAGGCACACCTCACTACGTACCCACAGGCAACTGGCCAGCTTCATTCATCACTTCATGAACTCTTTGTTCTTCCTGAAGCCAGCAGCTTCACTGTTTTGCCTCCAGTCTACTGAAGCCTAGCTAAGACTTCCAGCCATTCTGCAATGTTTATCTTCTCCACATTCCACATCCCTCAGCTTCTGGCCAGCTCAACTCCACAACCGTAAAGGTAAGTAGAGGCCTCCTGACCAAGCCAGGCCTGCCCCTAAGCCAGAAAAAGCAAGTCACAGCCAGGGGAGTCCATCCCAGCCAGCCATCAGTCATGTGTCTTGAGACTGGACCCAAAGGCTAGTCTCCTGAAGCTTCTTCAAATGCAGACAATATAAATATACACACAGCCATATTATTCACTTATGACTGTATTTTGTATTATGGAATTAATATCTTTTTAACATGAAAACAACAAAAAGACCAAGATCTTAATATTTAGGATCTAAAAAGCATGCCAAATTGAAGCTCTGATCTTGGTTTTAGTTTATGTTTCCATACTAGTTCAGTCATACTTGTTGTTGTCCAGGATTTCTGTACTCTGCTGCTTCATACTTAACTCCAGCTCTGGGGAACACTGTCCTCTGTCCCTCACTAGACTGTCAGGCTACAACTCTTCTCCTTTCACCTTCCGCTCACTAGAAGGAAAAATGTCCTTTTCCTAAGTCTAATTTGTTTAGACACAGACTTAATGGTTTCCCACTATCCCAGGCTTGCTTTCTTTAAAGTGCCTCAAGCACTAACAAGCAATAAGCACAATTTCCCAAGACCATACTTGTGGTGGACAGAGTCCTCAGCTCTACAAAGTGTGGTGGTGGAGGAAGCTATGAGGAAAGAACAGACAAGGCAGTGCACAGCACAGCTGACAGAGGAAGGCCAAGTCTCTTTAAGAGAATGCTTTCAAAAGCACGCTGTTCTGACTTCAGGGGAGCCAGCCTGCAGACAAACTTTCCTCTCTGGACAAACAGTACTACAAATGGCTGCTGTGGAAAGCAGGTGATGATCCTAACTGTGGCCAACCAGGGCACAAAGGGAGCAGTAGGGACTGAGTGGGTCCGGCTGACCTTTAAACTCAAAGTTTCTGAGAGCAAACGTTCCTTAAAGAAAAGCACAGGATGCCACAAACAAGGAGGAATGCCATATGCTGGTGACAAAGGCTTTCAGAGAACATGAGTGTGTCATACACTGAATCCTTAACTGGGTGGACCAATTGTACCTGAGGTAGCCCAGAAGACACACTGGCAGAGGAAGAGGGTGTGAACCTATTTCAAGCTGGACACACCAGAAGTTCCAAGTCTTTCTGAGGCTAGGAAATCTTGGTGATTACTAAAATGGCACCCTCCCAATGGGAAAGAGGGACTCGGAAGCTGGCCATCTGTGTGTGGAGAATAGGCAAAAGCATGGCACATCCATATGCATGCGCCTTGTCGTTGTATGCAGAGCAGGGCAGGGTCATGCCTACTGACATCAGATGGCCACATACATTAGGAAGCAATTATGTCTGTCCCACTGTACTGGTTTTTTATTCTCTTTATATGCGCAGACAAGAAACTCGGGGAGGATATAAGCAAAACGGCTGACAATGATGGAAGGAGCAGGTCTGAACTTTCCCTCCACTTTGTGGAACTGAAAAATGGTGGCAGTGAACAGAAATGGACAGGGTGGCAGAGCATGCAAAGTGGTTTCCCACCCAACACACACACACAATTGGACATCATGTTCCCTCTATGTCTGTCCTGGATTCCACCAGCTCTCCCACCGACAGGCTCATCTCCTTTCCTGGACTTCCTTCTGGCCATCATTAAGCCATTCCTCCTGGGATGTTACTGCTATTTCCCAGATACTTTTCAAGACTATTAGAATGAATGGGAATCTACCAAAGGTCACCTTCAAGAGGAGCCAGCAAGATGGCTTCTCGCCCCCTTCAGCCCAGGCCAGGGAGCACATTAGTGGTAAGTTTTTTTAAAAAGCCCTTTCAACAGCTGGGTCTGATCATCTAGCACCTAAGTGCCTGACTCTCCCTCAACTTAGAAAACACATAAACTTTCTTGACTCTTTAACAGTGTAAGATCTTTTAAAGTAGGCTTTCAGGCTCAAGTTGAGAAAAAAAAAATCTCATTACAGGCCTTCAAGTTTGCAGACTAAGTGCTAAAACACAGTCCATATAGATGGAACAAACTGTAATGTCTTTTCCAAAGGAAACAAAATCGTGGTGAGACTATCCAGCCATCGGAACTAAGTGACTTTCAGGCCTTACACAATCAGTGGTAGCTGTAAGAGAGCCCCATGCCACGGGCCCAGCCCTCCTGCCCGCATCATGCTTACCGTCCTCCCCTGTGTCTGGCCCCAGTGGAGCAGCATCCTCTTCGAAGCCTCCAGTACCTGGCCCCACTGGCGGGGAGCTGTGCTGCTGGCTCAACTTGTTCCGAAGGAGAGCAATTTCTTTTTTGAGCAGCTTTGCCCGTTTACTCCGTGAGCCACTGGACTTCATGGAGCAGGTGAGGTCCAGCTTATCCAACAGCTCTCTCAGCTGCTCCTCCAAGCTCAGGTGGGCCCTGTTGGCTGGGTCCAGCAACCTGTCCACTGAATCAAAGACAGACAGCATCAGTCATCTGATAAAGACAACCACGCATTGGCCCCAGCTGTTCTCTAAACCACCTTTGGCCAAAGTTGCAGTAGGGTCGTTTGAGGATCATCCTCCACCTACATTCTGAACCCAGAGGGCCACTGTCACAGAACCCAGGCTGCTCCTGAACAATTCTACCCTACGCCACTCAGGTACAGAGAAAAAGTGTAGCCACAGCAGATGCCATATCCAGGGAACAGGTGTGGGTGTGGCTTCCTGGAGCAGGATCTAATTCAGCACTCCTGCACAGACAACTCATTCTGTACAAGACACACAAAGACCACCAGAGATGTGTATGTTCTACCAGCCCACAAACACAAGATGGATTGTGCCAGCTCTGTCAACTAAAGTAATAGTATAAAAATGTGTTAACTTTGAAGAGGAAGTGTACTCATTACCTCACTCATGTAACTGTAACCCTCTGTATAGTATCTTTACAATAAAAAAATTTAAAAAAAATGTGTTAACTTTGACCTATCGTATTGCAATAATTCAACCTAGCAAAAACTTCACGTATAAACCACTGTGTGCTTTTCACTGAAATGGACTGTAAAGTTTGTAGATACATCAGAATTTCCTTTCTTTTTGGGGGGGGGGCTGAGGGGGGTCCAATCATGGGGCCTGAACTCTGGGCCTGGGCACTGTTCCTCAGCTCTTCAGCTCAAGGCTAGCACTATACCACTTGAGCCACAGTGCCACTTCGGGCTTTTTTCTTTTTGCTTATGTGGTGCTGAAGAATCCAACCCAGGGCCTCATGCATGCAAGGCAAGCGCTCTACCACTGAGCCACCTTCCCAGTCCCTACACCTGAATTCCAAGCACATTTACTACAAAAGTTCCAAAATGGTATTAACTTAGAGATAACCAAGAAAAGTGAACACTTCAGAGGCATCTTAAGATAAGACCAGGAGCCAGAGGAGCAAGAGGAAGTCAGAACCCAAAGCAACTGTCCAGTTGCCGTGGCCGGCCTGGCATACTCCAGACATCCAATGCCTGCTGAAGCGCTCATCTGTACAAAAACGGCATACAGTATTGGAAAATGAGCAAAGCACTCATCACAGCTGACCCACGGCTTGCATTCACATCACCATTTAAACAAAGTCTCACAGGTAATACCTCAAATGCATTCATGGAAGACAAAATCTCATTATTTGAAGCAACAACGAAAACTGCCTTCTAATGCCTGTTTGCATGTGTGCGTGTGTCTCAGTGTGTTGGCAACCACACTAGGATTTGAACTCAGAGCCCTCACTCATGGGCTCTATCACTTGAGCCGCAACTCCAGCCTGTCTTTGTTTTGGTACTGGTTCTGGCTAGGGCTTGAACTCAAGGCCTGGGCACTAACCCTAAGCTTCGGTGCTCAAGCCTCGTGCTCTGCAACAGCTGTGCTTAGAAATTAGAGCCTTAGCCAAGTGCCGGTGGCTCATGCCTGTAGCTACTCAGGGGGCTGAAATCTGAGGATCATGGTTCAAAGCCAACCCCAGCAGGAAAAGTCCATGAGACTCTTTATCAATAACTAACCACCAGAAAACTGGAAGCAGCTCTGTGGTTCAAGTGGTAGAACACTTGCCTTGAGCTGAAGAGCTCATGAACAGCACCCAGGCCCATAGTTCAAGCCCCACAACCAACCAAAAAAAGAAGAAAAAATAAATTAGAGCCTTACTTTTATGCCCAGGCTGGCTTCACACAGCAATCCTGAGACCTCAGCCTCCTGAGTGACTAGGATGACAGGTGTGAGCCACCAGCACCCAATGCTGTTTCTTTTTAAAGAGAGCCAGCAGCCACTCCATCACAGGGCTCAGAGCACCTTCCATGGTGATACTGTGGCGCACCTGTTCTCCCCACCCCAACTACTGAGGAAGAAATGAATGGGTATACTTCATCCTTACTTTCCTTTTTATTAAAAGCCTGATATAAAAATTTACTTGCAATGTCATTTTCTCAAAGGCACCAATGCCTAGAGGCCTCCACGCCAGGTCTTGGGGGATCTTAGGGCCAGAGAAAGGCCCTAACAGGGATGGTGGGGTCTATAGGATTGCAACTTTCCCAGCAGTTGAGGTGGGGGGTGGGGAGAGCTGTTTATCTGTTTCATAAGCAGCTAACACCATCCAGGGGCAGTCTCAGTAGCCCCAGTAAGGATCCACCCTGGACAGGAAAGGCTAGGCCACAAGGACTCAGTTCTACCCAGGACCTTGGGAACATTTTAGAGCATGGCTCTACTGGGCTTACAGACATATCAGCTTTGGGTCTTGTTTAGTTTCCAATTTTTCTACAGGAAGACTTGTTACCCTTAAAATCAAAGTTTAAAAACAAACAAAAAGAAAACCATATATTTTTATCTGGAAAAAAGAAAAGGAAAAAAGTTTAGAAGCCAAACCAAATTGTTCACATCTGTAATGCTATTAGGAAGGCTGAGTTTTGCTTATAATTAATTCTGAGTTCAGGAAAACTATAATGATGTTACCCCAACCCTTCTAGACCTCCACAACTTCAGCAAATGCTAATGTGAGCTTGACAAACAAGAGCCAATGAGGTTTCCAGGAATCAGAGAAAAAGACTGATGAATGAATGACAGCATGTGCTCAAGGTGGCAAAAATAACCCCCGCAAGCCGATGTTAGAGTCCACAGGGATATGCCACTCCTAGCTCCATCCTGAACCAGGTGCAGGCCAGCAGACAAGTGAGAGAGTTAAAAGGAAAGCCAGCCAGGCTCTGGTAATCATGCCTGTAATCCTAACTATTCAAGAGGCAGAGATCAGTGGCGCTGTAGCTCAAGTGGTGTAGCTCAAGTGGTAGAGCGCTGGCCTTGAGCTGAAGAGCTAAGGGACAGTGCCCAGGCCCAGAGTTCAAGCCCCACGACCCACAAAAAAAAAAAAAAGAAAGAAAGTATACATTTGGGGCTGGGAAGGTGGCTCAGTGGTAGAGCGCTTGCCTTGCATGCATGAGGCCCTGGGCTCGATTCCTCAGCACCACATAAGCAAAAAAAGAAAACAGCCGGAAGTGGTGCTGTGGCTCAAGTGGTAGAGCAAAAAGTGCCTTGAGCAAAAAAGTCCAGGGACAGCACCCAGGCCCTCAGTTCAAGCCCAAGACTGGCACCAAAAGAGGGGGTGGGGAACCAAGCCAATGAGAGTTCTTGCTTCTGTTAAAAAAAAAACAAAAGAAATACAACTGCCTTCTTGCTGCAATGCATCCTTAGGAGCCAGCCCAAAACAAATCCTGCTTTCTCCACCTCCATCATCCAGACCTGGGCTCCACTGCTAACCCGTCTCTAGAGTCAGATCCTTAAATGTGCAAAGTATACAACACACACCAGATGGCAGAGTAAAAACCACCAGCAGAAGCTGAGTGATGCTTAGGCAGCATGCGTGCTGAACAGTACTCTATAGTCTATTGGGAGGGCCATCTTGTCCCTCCATCTCCCTGAACCCAGTGCCCAGTTCTTACCGTCTTCCCAGGAGAATGGCCGCCGAGGGGCCGCCACAGGCCGCTCAGGTAGGTGCATTCCCGAGGCCTCTTCCAGGCCAATGCTGTCCACTTCGCGCTGGGCCTGCCTCAGAACAACACCTCCCTGATCTCGCAGCCTCACTGCGGCTCTATAAAATACGGTGTCCTTGGCATTGTACTTCATGCAGTTATCTACAATGAGATTAAAATCCTCCTCAAATGCATGGAGGTTTTTATACCCTTGAGCTTCTAACCGTTTCCTCATTGTGGCAAAGTCCATGGGATGTTTAATGTGATCCAGATAATCTGGTACCTAGTTTTAGAAAGGAAAATAACCATTTATAAACTAAAACATGATTTCTCAACTTATTCTATATTTTTGCATAATTAATCACACTGCGCGCGCACATGCACACGCACGCGCGCGCACACACACACACACACACACACACACACACACACACTTTTTATATGTGGCTAACAGGTGGCAGCACAAAGCCAGTGGAAAACCCAAAACCCAATCTTTGCAGCAAACCTGACCACCTTCCTTCTAGATTCTAGAGGTGGAGAACCTTTCTTTGTGTGCCAGTCCTGGGGGCTTGAACTCAAGCCTCAGGCTTTTTTGCTCAAAGCTGGTGCTCTACCACTTGAGTCACAGCTTCACTTCTGGCTTCTTGGTGGTTAAATACAAATGAGTCTCATGGACTTTCTTGCCAGGGCTGGCTTTGAACCACAATCCTCACATCTCAGCCTCTTGAGTTGCTACGATTATAGGCATGAGTCACCAGTGCCTAGCTAGGGGGAACCTTCTTTATGCCCAGGGTCATTTGGATATTTACAACATCAGCCATACAAAATTATTAATACTGGCAGATAGGCTGTAGGCAGCAGCCTAAAACAGATGAGAAACGTACGCTATCCGCCCCATCAAGCACCAAATGGTTCCTTGTGTGCTCTCTCCACCCCCCCCCCAAACCCAGATCAAATGCTCCTCACTCCTGCAAAGAGCACACCAGTGGGCAAGTGGGTGAGCCAGTGCTGCCGAGGGCTGAACAGACGTTCATTCTGGTACCTTCGCTGGCCACATGTTTACCAGTCAAAAGTCCACCAGAGGCAGGCAAGCCCCGTGGCACGCACCTCCTTCAGACTCACGGGCTGGGCAAAGATCTTGGCAGGGTCCTTCTCCTGCAGCCGTTCCAGGACTGAACGAAGCAGCACGGTGAGCGGGGTCAGCCGCAGCTCCACGGCCATCTGCTCCACCTTTACCTGGCAACAAGAGTGCACATCCATCCACCTCTACAGGACCTGGCCTCACACACCTCCCAGCCACAGAAGCTGCACTTCAACCACCACTGCCAGGCAGCCATGTGTGTGCAGGTCCCACCCTGTGACTCCAGCTACTACAAGCACCTGCCCCCCTTTCAAGGCAGAGACCATGCTGCCTACATTAAGGTTCCTGAATCCAGGGGCATCATTGAAACACCAACTAGGGGTGGGGCCACTCTGGGAAGCAGGCAGGGATGGCAGTACAGAGTGTGTCACAGCAGGTGCTACTCTGGACCAGCAGACAAGTGTCACTCTAGGGCATCTCTAACTGCATCCCATAAGGTCAGCAGAGTCCTAGATGGTCCCAGGATGCTACAGATACAGCAGATGGGGAAAAGTCAGGCCTCACCTGCTCACGCTTGAGTTTCTCCCGTTTTCGCAGCAGCTCAATCAGTAGCCGTGCACGCTCAAGGTCGTGGCGTAACCGCTGCCAGTACTTCAGCTTCTCTTTGGCAGCTTTCATCTCTTCATCGTTTTCTCTCTGAGAAAATTAATGGGCACTTCCCATCAGTCAAACACAGAGGATTTTCCTGCTGTGAACCTCAGATGCCCACACAGTATGAGACTCCAAGAGCCCGGCATGCTGGTACACAGTTTTCTTAGGTCTGTCCTGGCTGTCTGGGACCAGGGCCCTGGCCTCACTAGAGGCCACATGGAGGTACAAAGAGGAGGGGACATGAGTCATGAGGCTGAAGGCATTACATACAGGGCCCCATTTTGACCTCTGGGAGCTCGGAGAGTTCACCAACGTCAAAGGAGCATGGAAGCACATGGCTCGGCCATCCCTAACTCACAGCTCAACAGGACACAGGAAGCACATGGCTCTACCATCCAGATGCACAGCTCAACGTGACACAGGAAGCACATGGCTCTACCATCCAGATGCACAGCTCAACGTGACACAGGAAGCACATGGCTCTACCATCAAGATGCACAGCTCAACGTGACACAGGAAGGACAGGGCTCTACGTGACACAGGAAGTACGTGGGCCCTGCCATCCCGACGCCCAGCTCCACATGACACTTGGGGCTTAGCAGGAAGACTGTGGAGGCACCCCTGACCCCTCAGAGACTAGGTGCGCGTCATCCACAGAGCCTCGCCTTTCCTTCTTCTCAGGATGGGTAGTATAGACCCTGAACTCACCCCACCACCTGGGGCAACCCTGTTCCACTCTTCACCGGAACAGAAGCACAGTGCTACCAAACCCAAAACAAACAACGGCAGGAAGCAGGCAGCACTCCAGGCTGCATGGAGGCTGCCTGGCAGCCTTTGCTCACAGTTCTTGTGGGATGAGGAACCAACCGTCTTCCCCACTTAGCAGTATCTTGCCCAGACCTACCCTAGGCTCAGACACCACAGACCACAGGGCTCCCTAAGTCGGTTTGAGTCCTTGTATATTTGAGGGAAGATGAGGCCCACAGCTGGATGTTCCCCCACAGCTCTGTCAGCATTCCATTCTTATAGAGACTGCCAGTCTCTCTCTCTGGTCCATCATCTACAAACCAAAATAAAACCCAAGTTCTGGATCTTTCACTTCCCCCCACCACAACCCCCTTTTCCCCATGTCTCCACTATCACAGAAGCAAAGACCAAAGCCTGGATCTTGCCAGTGGCTATCTTTGCCATGGGCTTCTTTGTTTCCTGATTCAAAGCCCTAAGGCCTCTCTTACATCAAGGCCACCTCCTCTGGTGTGTGGATAGACAGACAGAAGCATCACACAATGTGATGCAGTGGAAAACATGGCTCACTCACTGAACAACCCCAGAAGAGACATTTAAGCCTCAACTCTGATAATGTGAGAGGTGGGCTCCAGGAAGGCACAGGGCCCCTACAGACAGCACCCCAGTCGGCCCAAAGAATGCAAAAGAGGAGGGGCAACGTACACAGGAGCTCCTACAGAGACAAGGACTCCACAATCCAGGTCGGAACCATACAGACCCAGAAGCTCCCAGCTCCTACAAGAACAGTACACAGCCACACAGGGCCCAGCAGCACTGCTCATCTGAGAGCACTGCCGGAGGGAGAAGCTGCCTGCACTCACTCCACAGGGTGGCTCACAGAACACAGAGCTCGAGCTCGCGCTACAGCAAAACACCACACACAGCATGGGGAACATGAAGACTCTACAGAATCACAGTTTCAAAGTTTGAAACCAAAGTTTCACCACAGATCAAACAATTCTATTCCATGCTTGGGACTGCTATAAACATGACAATCCAAGGTTCTGCCAAGGCCTTTGACCTCTCAACTCAAAGAAGGGCCCACTGAAATACCAACCTCCCCATGAGCCGGTCCCTTCCTTAACAAGTGGTGAGCAGTTTGTTTGGTGACATCTCACAGAAGACTCCCCTGTACTTTCAAAACGAATCCTCTCAGAACTGTCTTACAACACCAGATGGCTCCATAAACCCAAATTAACTTTTAAATCACTAGAGCTTGCTTAGGTTTATTCCTTTAGGGATGATACTTAGGTTCCCTCTCTGAGGTTCTCACCCCTCGACTCCACTCCTTGCTGTGGTCAAGAATAAACTAGCTTCAAAGCAAGACACTCTGAGTTCCTCCTCATGTGACAGACCTCCAAAGGCTGCTAACAGGTCTGCTGCCAGGCCCAGGCCTCTGTTCTGTCATTTCTGCCCTGAATGTCTCTGTGCCCAACATGCTGTGGGCTTCCCGGAGATGGCCAGAGCTCTGGGCCCAGGTGGGCTGCTGTGTGTGTGTGTGTGTGTGTGTGTGTGTGTGTGTGTGTCAAAGTGAGTGAAGAAGAGCAACACAGCCCACAAGACACTCCAGGCCTACACGCTCCACATTTCAACATTCACCGCCACGCCCAGCCTGACCTGGGTGCCCGTTCCTCTGGGGCTGCGGCCAGGGCCATGCCAGAAGGCAGGAGACACTGTGAGGCGCGGGCACGTACCTGCTGCGAGCTCCTCTGGGACTGCAGGCTGGACTGGAGCCGCCGCAGCAGGGGGGCACCATTCCTAGACAGTCTTTTGAGTAGCCAGTAGCTGTGCACTCGCTCCACAAACTGCTTCTTCCGCTGAATGGCCACCTGATTCGCAATCCTATTTAATCTAAAACATGGAAAAACTCAAAGTTTAGCTTTAGAAAAGTACAATGAAAGGCAACAAGGAAAATTTCAATAAGACCAGTTGTGTTCACACTTGTTTTCTCTGTGAGCCACAGAAGGCACCATTTCTACCATCCCTCATGGTCTGAACATAAAAGTTCACCATCTCCAACTAGTTGAAGATTTTCATCCACAAAAATATTTGTCAAATTAAACATCTAAAAAGAAACAAAGGGCTGGGGATGTGGCTCAGTGATAGAGTGCCTGCCTAGCATGCATGAAGCCCTGCGTTTGATCCTCAATACCACATACAGAGAAAAAACTGGAAGTGGCACTGTGGGCTCAAGTGGTAGAGTGCTAACCTTTAGCAAAAAGAAGCAGGGACAGGCCAGGAGCCGGTGGCTCACACCTGTCATCCTAGCTACTCAGGAGGCTGAGATCTGAGGATCTCGGTTCAAAGCCAGCCCGGGCAGGAAACTCTGTGAAAAAAAAAAAAACACTAGAAAACCGGAAGTGCCACTGTGGCTCAAGCAGTAGAGCGCTCACCTTGAGCTGAAGAGCGCAGGGACAGCGCCCAAGCCCAGAGTTCAAGCCCCACGACTGAGCAGGGACAGTGCCCAGGCCCTGAATTCAAGCCCCAGGACTGGCAAAAATGAAAATTAAAAACATATATAAATACAAAGAAACAAAGCTGAGCTTCAAATTATGCTTCATGTAATGTCCTACACACAGGCTAGGATGGGGCTGGCCAACATCAGCAGGGACAGCAAGCAGTTCCACCCTGAGGTGACAGCTTGTTCTCACAGATGGTGTCTGTGAGCCCCTTGAAGAAAGGAAACGTTACGTTTTGGGGCACAGCTGGCAGGCCAGATCTGAAACATAACCTGTTCTCAACAAATGACAGCAGACCTCTCCAATATTTTGAGAAACTTCATCAAATACAAAGTAGTAAAAACATATGATGGAAGGCTTTGAAAGACTGGCTAGAACCAGCACAGCGGGTCCTATCTGGAATCCCAGACTCTAATGCTAGCTCTTTAGCAGTCAGAAACAGAGAGGCTCAAAGTTCAAGACCAACCCAAACAAAAAGTGATGTTATGTGCTAGTGGCTTACATCTATAATCCTAGCTATTCAGGAAACAGAGATCTGGAGGATCAATGTTCAGAAGCCAGCTGGCAGAAAAGTCCACAAGACTCCACTTTGAAGCAAAAAGCTAGGCTGGAGGTTAGCTCAAGTGGTAGAGTGCTAGCCAAGGAAACCAACTTTCTAAGCACGCTTGAGACTCTTGAGTTCAAGCCACAGTACCAGCCCCCCCCCAAATTAAAGTTAATGAGAACCCCACCTAACAAGGCAGGAAGTGGTGTGACACATCTGCCCCCAGCAGGTCAGGCAGGAGGACCATTCCAAGGCCAGAGCCAGGAAAAACATGAGACCCCATCAAAAACTACAGCAGTGGCAGACTGCCTGCCTCACAAGCATAAGGTCCTGAGTTTAAACTAGTAACACAAAAGACAAAAATACACAAAAACAAATACTGGCCAAGGGGCTTTCCTACCCCCCCTAACTTATAATTCTTCCTTCTGAAACAAAAACAATTCAAATGGTCTCAATGGACGCTGAAAAGCAACATGAATTCAATCAGGAGCCAAAGCTTCAGCAGCACAACACTCAAAAAGGCAGACTTACAGGTAGACATTAAGGAATTTCAAGTTCACTTTTTTTTGGTCAGTCGTGGCGCCTGAACTCTGGGTCTGGGCGCTGTCCCTCAGCTCCTCAGCTCAAGGCTAGCGCTCTATCACTTGAGCCACAGCACCACTTCCAGCTTTTTCTGCTTATGTGGTGCTGAGGAATTGAATCTAGGGCCTCATGCATGCAAGGCAAGCACTCTACCACTGAGCCACCTCCCCAGCCCCAAGTTCACATTTTTTTTAAAAACAATAAGTATCAGATTTTACAGAATAACTTGAGAACAAAAACAGCAAATAGATACCCCACCTCTGCTGTCCAGCTCTATTTCCAGCTGTCATTCCTGCCAGCAGGAGGAGGTACCGTGATGGCACACACACACCATTTGGGTCACCAGGACTTTTGGGGCCTCTGCACACTCACAGTGGCTCGGCACCCAGCCCATGAAATACTATCTACAACATGTAAGCAAAGACCCTCAGGTGGAGGAGGGAAGGTGGACTGCAGGCAGGTGACGTCTGGGCTTGAACCACAACCCACACAAATCTCTGAATCTACAAAGTATGCAGAAGGCAGAGACAGGAAGATTGGAAGGCTCTCAAGTTCCAGGCCAGCCTGGGCTACACAGTAAGAGCCTGTCTCAAAATTCTTTTTAAAAAATAAAGCCAGGGCCAGGTGCCAGTGGCTCACGCCTATAATCCTAGCTACTCAGGAGGCTGAGACCTGAGGATTATGATTTGGAGCCAGCCCTGGACAAACAAATCTGAGAGATTCTTATCCCTAACTAACTGGAAAGAAGGTGTGTTGCTCCAATGGTAGAAGTGCCAGCTTTGATCAAAACTCTCAAGAGTGCCGGGCTTTGAGTTCAAATCCCAGTATCAGCACTGTCAATCATTCAATAAACACAGAAGAACTAAGTATGAATCATCTCACTCTGAATAATAATACCCACCCACAGAAATGGTAACTTGTCTTCTTAGAACATCATTGGCGCCGGGCGCTGGTGGCTCATGCCTGTAATCTTAGCTATTCAGGAGGCTGAGATCTAAGGATCTCGGTTCAAATCCAGCCCGGGCAGGAGAGACCGTGAGACTCCTATCTCCAATAAGCCACCAGAAAACCGGAAGTGGCGCTGAAGCTCAAGTGGTAGAGCGCTCGCCTTGAGCTGAAGAGCTGAGGGACAGAGCCCAGGCCCAGAGTTCAAGCCCCACGACCAACAAAAAAAAAAAAAAAAGAACATCATTGGCTGTAATCCTAGCTACTCAAGAGGCTGAGAGCTGAGTATTGTGGTTCAAAGCCAGCCTAGGCAAGAAAGTCCATGAGATTCTTATCTACAATTAACCACCAAAAAGCCACAGCTTCACTGTGGCTCAAGTGGTAGAGTACTAGCCTTGAACATTCAGGAACAGTACTCAGGCCTTGAATTCAAACCCTAGGACCAAAAAACAAAACCAAAAAAAGAGAAGTTGCTACACTACTCATGTGACTCATGATTAAAATTCTCAATCAGGTGCTGGTGGTTCACACCTGTAATCCTGGCTACTTGGGATGTAGATTCAAAGCAGGCCTAAGCAGAAAAGGCTGCACTTCTCTATTCAAACCAGCCAGTAAAATGCTGGACTGGAGGCATGACTCAAGTGGTAGATCACCAGCACTGAGAAAGAAAAGTGATCAAGAAAGCTGAGCAAAGAGCATAAGGCCCAGAGTTCAAGCCCTAGAATAGCAGACAAAAAAATGTCACAAGTGGCCGGGTGTGGGTGGCGCACACCTGTAATCCTAGTTATTCAGGAGGCTGAGATCTGAAGATCGAGGTTGAAAAACCACCAGAAAACCGAAAGTGGTGCTGTGGCTCAAGTGGTAGAGTAGTAGCCTTGAGCTGCAGAGCCCAGAGTTCAAGCCCCATGACCAACAAAATAAAATAAATTAGAGAAACCAGAGCTCCCCAGGATGGCCTGAGCCATCAGAAAGGCACCTGTGGTGAGCAAGCGTTCCTAACCAGCAAGGGGCCCAGGAGGTTAGAGACCACGGCCCAGTGCTGGGCAAAGAGCCTGTGAAAATGAGGAAGGTCAGAGCACTAGCACCCCTGTCCTGGAATCTGTCAAGAGGGAGGAGGACTCCAGGGCATGAGCCAATGTACCACCATCGCATCAGAGGACGCACTGCAAGGGCAGAGCTGCCCAGGTGCAAGCTGGTGCTAGTACTGGGGCTGGGCTGGGAGTGTACTCAGTGGTAGTTTGTCTAGCACAGGAGGCCCTGGGTTCCATCCTTGGCACCACAAAAATTCAAATGTCAATACCAAGACAGAAGCCTGTAGTCCCAGCTACTCTGGACCCTGCAGTTCAAAAATGGTTTACACTGGTAAAGAAAACACACACTTCTAGATTACTAACATGTAAAAGTAGAATCTACAAAGAAAACAGGTCACAGAAATGCCCTGGTGAGCAGGTCGGAAGGCGGAAGGAAAGCAGAGGCAGGGAGGGAAAGGCAGTGGGAGAGTAAGTGACTGGCATACCTAAAAACAAACAAGAAGCATGGAGAAGGCCCAGCGGCAGACTTCTTGTCTTGTACTCACAAGGCGGTGGGTTCCATCCCCCGCACCACAACAAAGAAAAACAAACAAAAGTAACACCTACACTTTTTGTAGTCCAAGGATTTGAACTCAAGGCCTCACACACACTCACTAGGCAAGCACTCTATAACCTGTGCACCATACCCCCACAGCCCAGTCAGGAACCTTAAAAACAAAAACAAAAACCTATTACCTATTATAGCCAGTTCCCTTTGGCTCACACCTGTAATCTTAGCTACTCAAGAGGATGAGATCTGAGGACTGTGGTTTGAAGCCAGCCTGGGCAGGAAAGTCTGTGAGACTCTAATCTTCAATAAACTACTTAGAAAAAGTCAGAAGTGGCATTATGGCTCAAGTGGTAGAGCGCTAGCCTTGAGCACAAAGAAGCTCAGGTACAGCACCCAGTCCTTGAGTTCAAGCCCCAAGACCAGCAAAAAAGCTCAATTTATGCAACTAAATCTGAAAACTTAAGATGCAAAGAAAATCTGAAATGACTTACCAAAACTGACTGTGGGGGAGGGGGGAATGTAACCACATCCATACAGTAATTGTTTTAGAAACTGAATTTCACACTAGCAGCAAAATTCAGAAGAGACTTAGAGGCCAAACATGAGGCCACAAGCCTATAATTCAAGCTATACAGAAGACAGAGGCAGGAGGACAGCAGGTTCAAGGTCAGCACATGCAAAAAGGGAGTGGTGAGAACCTATCTCAAATACAAAGACAGGCTTGAAGGCTTAGCCTGCCT